TGGGACCAGAGGAGAGGAGGCAGCTCAGGAGCCTCAGGGCCTGGGAAGCAGCAGGTCCGCATTCCAGAAGAGACACTTGCCCAGTGGCAGCGCACACTCCTTTAATCCCAGCACCCCAGGGCAGAGGCAGGCAGATCTCTAAGTCTAAGGCCAGCCTGCTACATAGTGAGTTCCAAGACAGTCAGTGCTATACAGAGAAACCCTGTCTTGAAAAACAAAAAAATGGGGGGCCTGGAGAAATGGCTCAGTGGTTGAGATCACTGGCTGATCTTTCAGAAGACCCAGGTCCAACTTCCACATGGCAGCTTATAACTACCTATAACTCCAGTTTCAGGGGATCCAACACCTTAATACAGACATACACACAAGCAAAGCACAAATGCACATTAAATAAATATAATAAATAAATTATTTAAAGAGAGAGAGAAAGAGACTCTCACCACCTCCACCTTGTGCAACCCAGGGCTTCCATACAAGTTACCTTCCTCATAATCTTTCGGCCATAAAACATTACTTTGTCTCTCTTCCGGAACCTGTACTGAGGAGTGGGCTCTGCTTGTCCTGTGAGAGGAGGGAAGGGGCATGGTGAGAAGGCAGGGATCTGAATACAGTCTTGAATGGGTAGGCAGTGAACACAATTGAACCAGCACAAGACAGGCCTTGAAGGCGCTGACAAGAAACCATGCTCCCGAATGCCCTATCCCCGGCTGCTGCTCAGACAGCAGGTGTCAGCAGTGACATTGGGGACTCAAATTAGCAGAGTCGGGACTTCTGTCCTTACTGGATCCTAGCTTTGGAAAGAGCAGAAAAAGGTAGGGACAGACTGGGAACCTCAACCTGATCCTTAGGAGGTGACCATATTTCAACAAGGCTTTGAGGGAAGCTCCCAGGAGCTCCAAGTACCTCGTAAGACACAAATGCAGAACCCCACTCCGTCCCACTGCTCAGCCAGAGTCCAAACGAAGATACTTACGCAATCTGCTCACCCTTCTGTACACAAAAAAGATGGCAACGCTAACAAAGGCCAGTGTTATGAGGGCTCCGATTCCAATCCCGACCAGCTACACCGGATGGGAGATAGATAATAGGGTCAGTAGGGCCAAACACAGCCACAGGCCAATCACAGACCAGTCCCTGGGAAGCCCATAGTGATTACCATGGTGAACTGTGAAGACTCCTCCATGAAATGCAGCCCCCAGGAGCTCAGGGTACTCCCCAAACAATAGCCAGCCTGAGGAGAGAACAGACAGGGTACCCAGTTGCTCAGCCTGGGCTTGGTCAGAGAACAAGAGTAAGCTCAGAAGCTAAGGGGAAAGTCAATAGCCCTGAAGATTTTTGAGAAATGGAGCCTACCAGACAACTCGGTGGAGAAGGCATTTACTGCCAAGTCTGATGACCTGAGTTTAATCCAGGAGACCCATATGGTGTCAGGATAGAACAGATTTCCATAAATTGTCCTCTGACCTCCACATTCATGCCATCACATTTGCATAGCTACACATACACACAGAGAGAAATATTATATATATATATACACATATACATATATATGTATATATATATATATATTAATTTTAGAGAAATGATCTTGTCAGGGGTGCCAAGACCCTCTGAGCGCAACTGCAAAAACAGAAAAGCAGCAACATGTCTCCTTTGGCACTGGGATGAGTAGGCAGAGTAGCTATGCTATTGGCAACTGCCATGCATGATAATGTAACAACTTCCAGCTCTCCAGTCCTCAAGAAGAAGGCCTGGGGAGGTCAAAGTCATCTCTTGGAACCCTCTGGATACCAATAGGACCAGGGTTGCAAATTCCAAGATCCATGAGAGCCCATTCAGAATGCTCAGACACTCCTAAGAGTGTGTGAAGTTACTGACACTCACGTTCATTTTGGTCCCAGCTACCTGAAAGGCTGAGTAAGAGGTTCAAGCCCTGCCTAGACAACCAGTGAGACCAAGTTTTAAAAACAAAAAAAAAGATGGAGAACAAAAAGAAACCCCAAGGGAAGATTCATTGGGATTTAGAGATATCTAAAATCAGTTCACATGCCAAAGAAGAAATGGAAGGAAGGTTCTGCCTCTACCCCCCTGCTGTCTACAGGAAGCCACTGCAGGACTTCAGTTATCCAAGGAAGGGAAGGAGGCAGGAGAGCAAGGGCTCAGGATATAAGGGTGAATGAGTGGCCAACAGGGGAAGCTGGTTCATGGTGGGGAGGGTTACATGATTTAGTCCACCACGTTGGAAGCCAATCTATTGGAAAAGGGCTGCTTATTGGTTCCTGGCTGCCCAGCTAGCTTAGACCGAAATAATCACAAAGAAACTGTATTGATCAAATCACTGCTTAGCCCATTAGCTCTAGCTTCTTATTGGCTAGCTCTTGCATTAACTTAACCCATTTCTATTCATCTGTATATCGCCGCCACGTGGCTGTGGCTTACCGGGTAAAGTTCCCAGTGTCTGTCTCTGGCCACTCCATGGCTTCTCTCTGACTCCACCCTTCTTTCTCCCACCATACAGCCTAGCTTTCCCTGTCTAGTTCTGTTCTTCCCTGCCATAGGCTCAAAGCAGTTCTTTACTCATTAACCAATAAAAGCAACACATAGACAGAAGGACCTCCTACACCACTCCCAAATGCTAAAGACAGAAGAAATCTGACCTGCAGCTGTCCCTCGGTCCTCCAGTCCTCACCTACCTCGTCTTCTCGAGCAGCAGTCAGGAACTGAATAGGGCCAGCACCCACCTACTCATCCTTTGCAGCTTCTACCTAACTGCCAAGGACCAAAGCCTAGCTTTAAAAACAAACAACAAACAAGTCTCAGACTCAGCAGTCCCTGCCAAAAGACCCAAGGAGAGCTGAAGGCCACTCAGGAAGGAACCCCAAAGGCATAGGTCTGCCTCAGAACAGAGTAAGTGGGTCACCTAGAAAACAGCCTTGTGATCTTAGTTCAGGAGACAAATAGCTGAGTATTGGTTAAGGGAGGGAAGAACATGTCCCAATAAGTATGGGACTTAGGTAACTGCAACATTGAGTGACTGTCACAGGGTGCATTTACACAAGCACTGTTATCCCACCAAGCAATACAATCTGTGGGATCAATATTGCATGTGCTCTATTGTGCAATGTACAGCCAGTACGCTTTTAGTTTCAAAACTAAGGCACTCAACTTCCCTTCTCCTCTACTCCAGCTCAGCTCTCAAGACTGGGGTGTACAAAAGCACCCAACCGCACCTTCTACTTTCCTCTGAGCTTGCCTTATCCAAGGAAAAACACTTGCCTGCATACACAGTCTACCACAGTGTACCACCTCAGCCAGTCTAGCTTTTACGGTTATTCTAATGGGTCCACTATTCTGGTTTAAAAATGGAGGTGTGGGGTATAGTGGCACACACCTTTAGTCCCAGCACTTGGGAGGCAGAGGCAGGACAATCTCTGTGAGTTCAAGGCCAGTCTGGTCTATACAGAGAGTACTAGAGATGTGTAGATCAACCCTGTCTCAAAACAAAACAACCACCAAAATACTACTTCTAATAAAGGCCTTTGGGACATGTTGACTTGAGAAAAAGACCTCAGATACCAAAGTTCTGTAAGAAAGCAGGAAGTAACAACTGCTACTTTAAGGGAAGAAAATAAGGCTTCAGTAATGACTTAACAGCCAGGTTCCATTGTCCAGCCTGTCAGTAACAAGTGTCAAAGCTCTGATAGTGAAACACATTAAGTCACCATTCCCACATTTTCTTGGTCTTCTAGGAGCTTCTGTAGAAACCTGAGGCAAAGGATTCTTCTGTCCTCTGGAAATGTTCCCACCCACGCCTGGTCTACCTACCTTAAGGCAGACACCTTCGTCTTTCTGCATGACTGAAAGAAAGCAGGGCAATGTGGAGGGCGAAAAGGAGACAGGCTGAGACCAAGCTGCTCTCCCTGAACCTTTGCAGCAGGACAGCTGTGGTTCCAGCCTTGCCAGCTCCTTTCCAAGTCAAACGCTCTTATTGGAAGGGACTCGAGAACTCTGTGCTCCAAAACAAGTTGTTTTCCAGAAGCGTCGGCTCTCTGTGTGCTTCCGTCTCCTGTAAACAGCTCTCACGTGGTCTAAGGGGAACCCATAACTGTGGCTCGGGGTGGGAATGAGAGTGGCGGGGGGTGGGGGAAGGCAGAGAATTGAGCGACAGTCAGGGATCAAGCAACCACCCAGAAAGGGACAGCGGCTGGAGTGGGGGAGGAGAGCAGAAGTGTAAGTTGGCAGACAGTTCAGGGAGGGGAGGTGGGAGAGCTTGAGACTGGCGGTACAGATAAGAGAGTGGTTCAGGAACGCGGAGAACAACAAGCTCATTGGAGGGAGACTAGGAGGGGGTGACCGACTGGAGGGTGAGCCTCACCCGGGAGCCTTGATATCGCCAAGAGGAGAGACGAGGGATGGGGCGTGGAGGCTTTACAGCTCAAGAAAGATCTGGGCCAACAGGGGTCACAGCCCAAAAGGGGTCTCTCATTAGGAGGGGTGAGGGACGGGAAGGTGGTTATAGCCTAGGAGTGATCATGGGAGCCTTGACAGCGAGGGAGGGAAAAGGAGGGCATGATATCCAGGAGAAGCGTGAAGGGCGAGGAGGGGGCCAGTCACAGCGGTTAGCGTGTGGACGTGCAGCGCAGGCACGGTGGGTGTGTTGGGATCAAGGATGATTAACTAGAGGGCCACTAGGACCCAAGCAGACTTGGCCACGCGCCAGACCGCTGTTCACTGGCCTAGTCCCCAACAGCGCGTCAGTCCCGGAAGCCACAGCTCGGTAGTGACTCGAAGGGTCCACAAGCCCCGACCCCGAGACCTAGGGCAGCACCCATGACGCCTGCGCCAGTCCGGCAGCCGACCTTCGGCGCCGCGGTTGTGAACGTCCGGTCGCGGGGTTGACGAGGGCCAAGAGCGATCTCTGCACAGGCCAGCCCTAGATCGCCACCTCGCGGCGCAGGATGAACATGCATAGCCGCGCGCGCTCCACATCCGGTTCTGCGCGGCTGAGGCTGGGTATTGGGCACGCTGGCGACCAATCCGCGAGGCTCTTGCTGCGGAGTGGCTGGCCCCGTCGACGGCCGGAAACGCAAGGGTGGACTTTGCAGTGGTAGTTTTATACGACTTGGGTCGGGGGATTGGTGTCTGAGCGTTCTCAAGTCGGAAGCGACAAGGGACCTGCGGGCCGAGCTCGAGATCCATCTGCCCAGGTCGGTTTGTGCGTTTCCATTTGGCGCCTCCCCTGCGGAGTTCTTCAGGGTCCGGGATCTTTCAGGATTAGGGGTAGTCTCCACTTTTGGGGTCTTGGGTCATCTGCACCCGCAGGGCCCACAGCACTCTCTGCTCGTGAGTTCTAGGATGCCGAGTCCCTCTGGCTCTGATTGGCCCCCTCAACTGCCTTGTTCTTTCAGAGCTGTCTTCTGCAGAGCCCGGCATGGGTTTCCTGACCGCGGTGACTCAAGGCCTGGTGCGGGGAGCGGACAGGATGAGCAAGTGGACAAGCAAGCGGGGACCACGCACCTTCAACAAGGGCCGAGGTGCTAAGAGAACGGGCATCTATGCCTCAAATGGGAAGTTTGTGCAGATAAGGGAAATGGTTCCAGAATTTGTCGTCCCGGACTTGACCGGCTTCAAGCTCAAGCCCTATGTTAATTACCAAGCTCCTGCGGGCGTAGATACACCCCTGACCGCCAAAGCGCTTTTCCTGGAAACAGCGGCGCCTGCTATTGAAAAAGACTTTAAAGAAGGGACTTTTGATGCTAACAACTTGGAGAAATATGGCTTTGAGCCCACACAGGAAGGCAAGCTATTCCAGTTGTATCCTAAGAATTTCCCACGCTAGAAAACTGACAGAGACCAAAAGTTTGCCTATGAAGTAGAGACAATCCAAGCCTTCGATTCAGAGTGTCTCAAAAAGGAGGGGCAGCTTCTTTGTGCACTTCTATTAAAGGCCTTTGGTAACTCGTGCAATGTGTGTTTTGAATCAAGTCACTGAAGTGGACCGCAAGGCAGAATCCATGCAGTAGCTACAGAGTCCATCACAAATTCCAACCGAGTCAGGTCTGGGTACCCCTCTGGCTCCAAGTCAGAGAGCAGTAAGTATCCCCAAGGAAAACCTAAAGATACAAGTGAGGAGAGCAATCAATGCCAAACTGCTTTTTCATGACCAGTGGACCTGATTCGATACAGCTTATCAGATGTTATATGTCCCTTTAAGACTTAGCTGACCCTTACATTTAATACCTTTTATTGAAATAAATGGGCCTGTAACTGAGAATTTTGGTTTTTTTTGGTTTTTCGAGACAGGGTTTCCCTGTGTTTCTCTCTCTGGCTGTCCTGGAACTGTAGACCAGGCTGTCCTCAAACTCACAGAGATTCGCCTGCCTCTACCTCCCAAGTGCTGGGATTAAAGACATGTGCACCACCACTACCCAGAGAATTGATCACTTTAATGATAATCAAAAAAATAAAAAAAGTTATTTCATCAGAAAATAACGCAAGGGACCAAGAGGTAGCTATGCCCATATAGTGCTTGCCATGCAGTCATTAAGACCCAGCTTCAGCCCATGCTTATAATCTCAGCACCAGAAGAGCAGCAGGATCTCTGGGGCTTGCTGCCCAGTCAAGTCTAATCAGTTAACCTCAGATCCCAGTAAGAGACCTTGGCTCAAAAAAAGACAAGGTCATCTTGAATGGCACCCGAGATTGGCCTGTCTGCCACACTCAGGCATATGTGTACACACACAAGCAAAAACAAGGCATAGTGTTGCACACTTGCAGTCCAACACTTAAAGACTAGGAAGGGATTACAAATTTCAGATCAGCCAGGGCTACAAAGGAAGACTTCTTTCTGAGACAAGAGTCTTTCTGCACATCTTTGGCTGTCCTGGAACTCGCTATGTAGACCACCAAGCTGGCCTCAACCTCAGAGATCCACCTTCATGTGTTTCCTGAGTGCAGGGATTAAAGACATGCACCACCACTCCTGGCTAAGGCCCTATATTAATAGAATAGACAAGGGCATAGTATCTCATACCTATGAACTCAGCATTTGGGAAGCTTAGGTATATAGGCTCCAAGAGTTGGAAGTCAACCAGCCTGGACTACAGAGGCATGGGGAAGGAAAAGGTAGTGAGGCTAGGAGTACAGTTCACTGATGGATAATAGTAAGTCCTCGAGTATGTGCAGTTCCTGTATTTGATGCCCAATATTTAAAAGAAAAAACCAAAACACCGTTTTCTCTTCAAAACACTTGTATATCCTATTGAGGGTTAGACACATTTCAATGCCCTTTCCTCCCAGATAGGACATTAAAAATGGAATGTTGATCAGTGCACACCTGACATGTTCCTATAAAACCCATCTATCTAGACATGAAAACTGATCAAGCTATTAATGCTATAAGTATCTCATACCGACCGTGCCAAATACTCCAAGTTTGTGTTCCCTGAAGCAGCTTACAATATTTACACACCTCCTTTTATTCTATTATCCACTTTTAAAACTAGTTCAGAGATGGAAATAGTGTTTGGATAGCATTCCAGTTTAAAAAAAAAAAAAACCCTTTGTTTAGGAAATGGCTTCTAATGTGATAAAATGAGACTTTAAATGAGGGACTATGGGGCTAACAAGAAGCTCAGTGACTTACTACCAAGACTGATACCTAAGTTGGATCCCTGGGTCCCATGCTAGGAGATCCAACAGTGGAATTTGTGTACTCACACAAAAATAATAAAAAAAACAAACAATTTAGGGGCTACAGGCTAGAGATGGTTCAGGGGTTGAGTACTGCCTGCTCTTCCAGTGCACACAAGGTGGCTCCCAGCTGTTAGTCAGGTGATCCAACATCCTCTTCTAACCTCTGGGAGCACAGACAGACACATAGATGGAGCACAGACACATAGATGGAGCACAGAAAAGCACTCATATACATAACAGTTTTTTGTTTTTCTAGATAGGGTTTTTCTGTGTAGTCCTGGCTGGACTCAAACTGAAATCTGCCTGCCTCTGCCTCCCAAAGGGTGGGATTAAAAAGGGTATGTGGGCACCACCACATGGCTTTTAAATCAATCTCTCTCTCTCTCTCTCTCTCCCTCCCTCCCTCCCTCCCTCCCACCCTCTCTAAGTCAGGGTTTCTCACTAGCTATGGAGCCTGCCCTGGAACTAGCTCTATAGCCCAGGCTGGCCTCAAACTCACAAAGATCTGCCTACCTCTGCCTCCTGGATGCTGGGATTAAAAGGCATGCATCACCACTGCTCAGCTGTTTTTCTGGTTTCTTGAGACAGGGTTTCTCTGTGTAACAGGCTGTCCTGGAACTCACAAAGATCCACCTGCCTCTGTCTCCCGAGTGCTAGGATTAAAGGCATGTGCCACCACTACCATGCAGATGGAATTTTTTTTTTTAACTGAAAGGTTTAGGATCTTCTTGGGTAAGAACATATATTCTTGCAGAGGACCCAAATTTGGCTCCCACATAGTGGCTCACAATCACCTGTAACGTTAGCTCCAGGGAGATCCCTCTTCTGGCTTCCAGAATCCACACACAGACATAAGCACACATATGATTACAATATTTTTAAAAAATTAAAAAAATTGAAGTTATTTAATTAATATAAACAAGGACTTAAATACAAACGAAGGGCTGAACGTCAAAATATACCAAGATACTTAGTTTTAGAGCTGAAAAAACCCATTCACTGCCAAAACATAATCACAAAGGACATTCTCAAAGGCCAGCACTCCCAAGTCACATCCAGTATAAATGCAAAGAGTGCAGCCTCAAGCTTGCTCTGTCTTCCACTTCCAGAGGTGGAGAACATGGTTGTAAAAGGAGCAGGTGGCCAGGAGGCTGTTGTCACAATTCCCTCCACCAGAGGAAAGGCTGAGATCACACATCTTGGAAGAGGAGTCTAGCTGGCTGCTGCTTTTCATGTCCTCTGCTACTGGAAGGAGAGAAGCCTCCAATTCAGCTCTACTGGGCGTGTTAACAGGGCCATCTATGTGGTGGTCCACTACTTGTTCATGGAAAGGCACGGGTGGCTCCTCGGCAACCTTCAGACTGGAGCGGTCTGCAGCTCTGGTTCCCATCTCATTCTGATCAAAGGAGCAGGTGGACCTAGGCTTCGTGGAATGGCAAAGAAGCCAGGACCAGTCAGCCCCATACACTAATGAGTTAGGCATTTCCTGGGATATTGAGACAGTCACGTCCTGCTTCTCCTCTGCAGCAAGAGACGAGAGGAAAACCAGTATTACTCAAAGCTAACCAGCCTCCACTTATGTCTCCCTCAGCTTCCACCAAGAGCAGCCATTCTATCAGCACACACATTCACTGTCTGCAGAAGAATGAAAATGTGCATGGGTGGGCAGAAAAGAAACCAGATATGCATTTTGCAATGTGTACTGTGACTCTGAGATCAGCCAGGTCTAAACGACCCACAAACAAGGGCTTCCAAACTGGAGGGTTTGGCAAAGGCTTTCTAGAAGGCGGTGTAACTCATTCACAAAGGACACAGAAGTAAGACGGAAGAGGACAGAAAAGAAATGGGGAGCACAGAGCCAGAGAGATGGCTCGATGGTTAAGAGAACCTGCTGCTCTTGGAGAAGGCCTGAGTTGGGTTCACAGCACTCACACGGCAGGTGATAACTGCCGGTAACTCCAGTCCCGGAGATTTCTAAGCCCTCGTCTGGCCTCCTCAGGCACCAGGCATGCACACAGTACCCATACATACACGCAGGCACTCGCACATATACATAAAATATTTTTAAAAGAGAAAAAAATGGAGAACACACGTAGAGTACAGAGGCTAACAAGACCACAGCAAGGGTGAGGAACGAATGGCAACAGCCTCTGGCTGTAGCCCAGTGGCTAGGAACTTGCAGCCCCAAGTAGGTCTGCAGAAGAAGTTTCTTTCTAGTAACTTCCCCAGACAACCTGGCAAATGAGGAAAGTGTCAGAAATAAGCCAGTGCACATTACAATGGTATTGAGCCACAACAGTATGGAAGAGACATTACAGACAGAGAGAAAGTAAGTTTTTAAAAGAACATTAAGTGTAGAGGGCCGAATTTGAACTGCATAGAAACTCTGAGGTAGCATTCTCACTTACAGGCTTGGCAAACCAAGTCAGGAGGAGGCAAACCTCTCCCAGCAGTAGAATGCCTTGCCAATAGTCAGTCCTTGAGAACACAGATGTGCACTGTAGTTCAAAGGCTCTGATTAGGTTGTGGTTTGCCTTCTGATGAGGTGTTTTTATATATTATATTATAACAAGAGGTTTTCCCATAACACTGAGCTTTTTGTTTAGATTAGTTAGGGCACGAAGCTCTTGAAATTAGTTGCAGCCAAGTCAATGAAACTATTTTCCTGTATTATGGGAACCTAGTTTGAATCATGATTTGAATATTATAAAAGAGCACTGGCTTTGCAATAAAGTATGCAGTTGTATCTCCTACTTTGCATCCCCTGTGTCCTGATTTCTGCGGCACTACCCAAGGTCATCCATAACCAAGGAGGTTGGGGAAGGGTCCCCAACAATTAAGGACAGAGCCGGTCCAGAGTTCAGAAGCAAGGAGACAACTGGTAAAAGTGATCCTCAAGAACCAGCAGGGACACCAGATACAATGTGTTCCTGTCGTCCCAGTATTCAAGACACTGAGATAGGAGGATTGCCATTGAGTTCAAGACCAGCTTCAAATACATATCAAATTTGGAGCCAGCTTGTGTTGTTGCATGAGACCCTGTCTGAAAACACACAAAAATTAAAAATCTTTTTTAAAAAGTGAGATATAAAACTAAAAAGATACAAGGAAGTAGTGATTAAGGACTGGCAATTTAATGATGGGAGTCTGAGGTGTTCTTTAGAGTGCTTCTTTTCAGAGGGAGAGTAGATAAAGAAGAGAAACTATGATGGGAGAAGGAGGAGAGAAGGCGGCAGGGCTTGGAAAGAGAAAAGGGTGATGAGAAATGGTTCTGATAATGTTAGTTCATGGTGTGGTTCACCAAGCAAATCCAAGAATGTCCTACAGCACACCTAGAAGAGAGGCTCTTCACCTACAGCCACAGGTAGAGTTAGGCTTAACTAATACCAGGTTCTGTGAGAAAGGGGACAAGAGGAAGGCAATACGTGTGAGACACGAGGAGACCAGAGTCCAAGCTGTTCAAGAGAAAGCAGGGCAGGAATGGCAATGTGACAAGGGGTAATGCTTCTGGACAGGGCCCCAGTGCAGTCAGAACTGCAAAATGCAGGAAAACTTAAACAGCAGATCTGGCCATGAGGAAATCAGGGTGAAAGTGGGTTCTTGAAATTGAAGTCCAGTGCTGCACAGGGCGGGGCTGTGGCATGTTCTGGGTGTGGTCTGTGGAGAAAAAACTGATTCCCTACCCTGAGGCCAGCTCTACGTTCCCACTTACCAATGGCCTTCTGGCAGTTGAGAATCTTGAAGCCGTTGTACATGCAAGCCGCCAGGAGTAGGTGGTGGTAGACTGGGTGCCACTTGAGCCTCCACACGCCTCCTTGCACTGGCACATCTGCCAACGGCTGCTTGATGTTCCGAGTGTCCCAAAGCAGAACATGCTCATCATAACTAGAACCATGTACCAGACATTGACATACAGGAAAGCCCACGCTCATATTGTCCCTAAGACCTTGTGGTGTCAAACACCTCCCAAGTCCTGCCCCACTAATTTTTTTTTTTTTTATTTTTCGAGACAGGGTTTCTCCGTAGCTTTTTGGTTCCTGTCCTGGAACTAGCTCTTGTAGACCAGGCTGGCCTCGAACTCACAGAGATCCGCCTGCCTCTGCCTCCCGAGTGCTGGGATTAAAGGCGTGCGCCACCACCGCCTGGCCCCACTAATTTTTTTTGAGACAGGGTCTCACTATAAAGCTTTGGCTGACCTGGAACTCATAGAGATCCACCTGCCTCTGCCTCCTTGGTGCTGGGGTTAAAGTCCTGCACAAACTGCCTGTCTCATTTATCTTTAAGGACATAGGTAAGCCCCACTTTCTGGACCCAGATACCTGAACTGTGGGTTGGTTGAGAGCTTCGGACTCAATCTTGAATCCTTGTGGAGAGGAGCTGCGGAATGCACAAAGCAGCAGACCCACCCCAGGGACTCACCTTCCAGAAGCCAGTATATGTTCCTGATGGGGGTTGCTCTGGATGCTGCACACGCCCATGGAGTGTCTGTAGGCAAAGCGGAACAAGCAAGGTAGAGGATGAAATGTCCTAAGACAGGAGCATGGAGGGGCCATGCCCAAGCTGACCAGCTACCTTATGCTAGTGAAGACAGGTGTGCCAAGAATCCTGGTGTCCCAGCCTCTCAGAAGACAGTCATCTCCTCCTGTGGAAAGACAGAGAAGTCCATCAACCATGATAATGGCAATGAGTCTGCAAGAAAGATCTTAGGTGCCTTTCCTGTGTGGTACCATGGTTAGAGCACCAAAAAAAACCATTAGGCACTCTATCTTCCAATTGAGGGAACCAGGGTAGAAGATCAAAGCACTCTTTACCACTCTAGAGGTCAGAAAAGGATTCCCTAGAACTGGAGTTACAGACAGTTGTGAGCTGCCACATAGATGCTGAGAACTGAACCTGAGTCCTCTGCAAAAACAGCCAGTGCACTTAAGCACTGTGTCATCTACATGGACCCCAGTAAAGCCACTCCTACCCTCCTCTGCTTAACAGGTCCCAGGCTCTGCCCTTCTGTTCTGTAATTTATACTTAACCAGAGATCCTCTTAAACTTCAGTCTGTAAATCAGAAAATGTCACTTCTCTGCAGTTACTCTACTTCACTCCAGTCCCTTCAGAAAATGTCACTTCTCTGCAGTTGCTCTACTTCACTCCAGTCCCTCTGAGTGTGCAAAGCCCCAGGCCTTGCGGGTGGTGGCAAGCCCTTCTATCTTCACGCGCTGTGGCTGTGCTGGCTGCTCTTCCCTCACACCGGGCGCACCTGCTGTGGGGCCACTCCTCGCCTACAGTTCCCGGGCACACTCATCTTCCTTCTTTGTCCAGAACGTTACCACACCTCTGACCTCCATGCCGTTCCCTGCTCTCACATGTCTTCCACTTTCCCCGTCAACGTAGGCTTGGAGAGAACAGGCTGCTTGCTAAGATACCCTATTACATAAACTGCTGATATTTCTGTTCGTGTGTCTGTTTGGTTTTGGTTTTGGTTTTGGTTTTTTAGCTTGGAGGAGAGTTGTGTGTTTGGTTTTTGTTTCAATTATTTTTGGCTGGAGGAAATAAAGGTTATTGTGTTTGGCTTTGTTTTGAGACAGTATGGCTGGACGTGTAGTTCTGTCTATCATCAGAATAACAGCAATCCTCCCTTCTCAGCCTCCCAAGTACTGGGATTACAGAGTGAGCCTCCATGGCAAACTCAGTAAGTTCCTGAGAGTAAATAAAGAGGTAGAACTAATCCTAGAATTAAAGAACTTAAAAAAATAGGTGGGGGAAAAAACCTTCAAAAATGAACTCTTCATGGTTCTTAGAAAATTTGTTCAAGTGTATAATAGCAAATGACACAGATTGGAATCTACCCCTGAAAAATAAAAATCAGCGTTATGTATATAATAATAATCATGGTAAGTGCTGGAGTCCATGAGAGATTAGACATGAACTGAGCTGATGAAGATAGTGTTGGTGCAGGCTCCTCACTAGAAACAGAACCAAAAGCATGGTGTATACCTTTAATCCCAACACTCCAGAAGCAGAGGCAGGCGGACTTCTGTGAATTCCAGGCCATACTACATGAGTTCCAGGACAGCCAAAGCTACATAGAGACACTCTGTCTCAAAAACACAAAAACAAAACAAACAACCAAACAAAAAAGACCAAAAAAGAAAGTTGGGACTAGACATACTTGGCCCTGGGAATCTCAAGTATTTTAAATTTTATTCTGTCTTTTTTAAGCCAGCCCTTCCCGGCTCACATGACTTAGCTCCTCCACCAGGGAGAGAAGTCACCCAATTCTGTTAATTTCTCATTCTCATATAAATAGCACCAAAGTGATAAACCATTCAAAAACAGGAAACCTACCTATTTCCCTCATGCTTTCTTTCCTTTTGGAAGGGAAGCTATATCTAGAAAAGGACAAACCTAAAATCTGTGAGTCTACAGAAGTGGGACGTGGGGCAGCCATAGGTGCTGACCAGAGGATGTACCTTCCACAGACAGTCCTAAGGCCTCACATATTCTGAACCACAGTTTTGGCCTAGCCCCATCTTCTCCTCTCCCTGTCTTTAACAAGTCTTCATGGAGATGACTATACCGAGGTCCAACTCACCTGAATACACGAGTTCTGTGCGCCAGTAATTGAAAGCAGCAATCCAGGCCTCAAAGTGATGGGCTGGCCATGAAGCCACGAGCTGCAGTTCAGCCGCTCCCTCATTAACCATCAGGAGATGCAGCTGCCCCTTAGAATCACTGCTAATGATCTTCAAGGGCTGGTCTCTGGCCCTAGAACCCAGTAGCCAAAGGAGAGCCTATTAAACTCTACTCACCATCCTTTTCTGTTTTCATTTGTTTTAGAGACGGGTTCCAAGTAGCCTAGGTGGGTCTTACACTTGAAATCCACCTGTCTCAGTCTCCTGAATGCTAGCATTACAAGAAAGAACCATCACAAACATTCTCTTCGAGTTCCCATATATGCCGTAGGAGACATTTCTCAGGCAGCATATAACCATACCTCCAAGAGAGCCTCTTGGTATCTGGTAAAGGATGAAACTATCACATAATTTGTCACTAAAACCCCGGCTGGCTTCTCTTGATTATGGCATCATCACTACTTATTCAAAATGCTGTGATTTTCTGTTTTTAAGGATAGGACTGATAGTACACCCAGGTTTTAGGAACCAAACTAGCAGAAGGTAGCTTTAATTCTTCCTGAAATAGAAACAGGCATTGTTCCTCTGGAGACTCAGACCCCCCACCAAACCTGACTCTTACCTTCCAGGTTTCCCTGTTGACCAATCTAGGGACAAGGACAGACTTCTCTCCTCCAGGGTAAGGCTGGATATTGGTTGTAGGGTGTAACTGTTCTACTGGAAAGAAAAGGGACACCCTTGTCTAGGCAAACCTCCATTCCCTGGATGAGCAACATGCACCAGCTACTGTTTGTTTTTGAGACGGGGTTCCCTATGTTGCTCATATTCATCTTGAACTTTCAAGTTCAAGCAATCCTTTCATGGCAACTCTGCAGATACTGGTAGTAGAGGCAGGCTCTGCCTTACCTGGGTTTTTGGTGTTATTTATGCTTTAATAGTGCTAGAGGGGTGGAACTCAAGGCCTCAATGCATGCTAGGCAAGCAGTCTGCCACTAGGCTCCACCCTCAGCCCAGAATTAACATTTCCTCTAAGAGTGAGCTCTTGCCACTTATCAAGCACAGGATAGCACCTGAAGCCATGGAAACTCCAGCTACAGGGGACCTGACACCTTCTTCTGGCCTCTGTGGGCATGACACTCACACTCAGAAACCCCAGACACACAATTAAAAATAAAAACAAAATCTTTTTAAAGAGAAAGACCCCCTTTCTTTTTTTTAAAGAGGGAGAGGGAAAGGGAGGAAAGGAGAGAGGGAGAAGGGGAGGGGGGAGACCCTTTTCACATGAGAGATTTACTGGTATTCTTAGCCTTTGTATAATCCCCAGACATGCTTGCAGTGCAGTTCCTACAGAAACCCAGACCTGTGGACAACCTTCTTTTGGGATACTTGAGGTGATCTTATCTCACCAGAACCCCGTATAACTTAAAATAGACTCTATAATTTCTTAAAACACTTATAACAAAGTCTATCATGGAAGAGACCAGCCTAGGAAAATGGCTCCATCAGTACAGAGCCCTCATCAACACTCTCCACTAAGGTCCCTTTCCCATTAAAGCATGACCCATCACTGACCTCATATTCTGTCAGGCGGAGCAGCTCTACAGATCCACTGGCATTTGCCAAGCCTAAAAGTATGTGGCCAGACACTGGGATATGGCACCTGATGGGAGAACGCAGGAATACAATCACGGCTTGGAGGAACATCATGAACTCCAGTGATGTGTTATATTTCCTTCCTCAAATGAGGTTAGAGCCAACTGTTCTGTCTCCAAAGGCTTTCCAGATTATAAACCTGGACCTCATATTGTATCCCAGATTAATCCTGAGTCTGGGTTTGGGAAACTGACCAGGGAAATGTCAAGCAGGGCTTTCTACCTCCTAAGGGCAGCAAATGATGGAGCCCAGAGTTCAGTTCCCTGTTTCCGTGAAGATCCCTTAAGGCATCATCCAGGCTTTCAGACCAGGTGGGGTTACCTGTATCCTACCATTTCATGTCCAGGATGGCAGAAGAATCCCTTCTATGGACCTCAACCAGAGGTTTAGTCGTGTTGTCCTCATTGAAACTGTACAGGTAAAGACGACCTAAACGAACTTGAGGCTCGTTGACATCCAGGGCAGGCTACAGAATATACATATTTCCTGATTACCTTAACAGATACCGAGATCACAAAGGATGGAAAACAAAACTAGAACAAAAAGAAGGGCCAGAGCAGAGACTAGCTTCTGACCGAAGTGGAAACTCTCAGTTTCTGAGAAAATAATCTCTTTTCCTCCAAGTGTTCAATGAACAGGGGAGCTCTCCCGGAGCCAGTACAGCCAGGACCGCCCGGACGGACCTGCCTGCAGTTACATGGCTACAATCCCACTTGGTTTCGCAAGTTCAGAGAAACCTTCCGGAGATAGGCATGGTCCTGAAAGGTCCCACTTTACTTTGCCATTAGTTCTCACAGATTTAGGCCTTTTATGGAGGCCAGTAGTCCCTCTCCTTCTGCCCCGGCCTGACCCTCCCAGGCGTGCACCTGGTCCTCGGGCGTTCGCAGCTGGTAGGTTCCGCAGGCCATCAGCTGCTGGCAACCATCTACTGGGCACCACTCCACCGAGTCCGCAGTAAGTTCCGTGTCCACTGCCTGCAGAGTCTGCAGCATGCCTGACCAGCTGCCCGCCATTGAGTCAAAACCAAAAGATGCATGCGCGACACAGGCTCTCCACTTTCCTAAGTCACGTCCGACCCGGGGAAGAAATTTCCGGTCTGGAAGAGACAGCGGAAATGCTGCGCCCCCTACCTACCGGAGGACCGCAGGAAACAGTCCTGCTAGGGTCGGGAGCAAAAAGCAATGGCTTAGGGAAAAAGGAATAAAAACCTGATCTCAAGTAGATGCAGAAGCCCTCAAGAAAATTCCTGTATTGTAAATAACAGTTGGCTTGGGGAAACGAGTTTTTTTACACCTTGTGATTCCAACTACGTCCCAAAAATATATATGTTGAAGTTAAGCCCCAGTAACTCATAACCTTTGGAGACGTGGTCCTTTATAGTGACAAAATGATGCTCCCAGTGACCTCTGATCCAATAGATAGTCTTCATGTAGAGAAATTTAGAAACATGCACAGAGGACTTAATGTGTGCCCTCTGAAGTCTGAAACAATGCATATAGGAGCCCAGAATGCTATCAGATGTAGACTTGCAACACCTTTCCCCAGCTCTTGTAGTGGCTGTGGCAGCAAGAACCTTGATTAAACCATGAGACAGACCCAAGAGACAATAATCTCTAGCTTTAGTCCAACCAGATTTGGCACTTAGTTACAGCAGCTCCAGGAAGCAAGTTCACAGGACACCTGGGTATCCAGTCTGGGAACGGAAGCAGGGATATGGCTATTTGCCCAGCTTGCAGATTAATTAGCAGCTGAAGCAGAGGAACCTACCTAGGACATTTTGAACAGACCTCAATCCCTCCAGCACTATATTATCCCAAGGTCAAATAGCCCCAACACTTCACAGAAGGGAGAAAGGGTTCCATAACTGAACCACCAGAACATTCACATAACAGTCTAGATAAGCAGCTACAAAGAACAAAAGGTAGGGATAATCGGAAGGGGAGGGCAGGGATGGCAACAGACACAGGAAGACACCAAGTGGCCTGATATACCCCTTCACTGCACAGTAGCACCTGTGCTAGCAGGTGTGGAAGAGTTGATGGGAAGAACCCAGAGGCAAGCCTAACTCATACCATCACCTTTACCAGCAATGCTTCTAGGTCAGCTGTGCAATCCTGAGTGTTCTCTAGGTATAAATTCCTGATGCAAAGTTCACAGTGTAAAGCAGCCACTGTTGGTCAGGGGACAGGGACAGGATAAAGTCCCAATCCAGCCATTCTTAAAGATACAAGCAAATATCAGTTTGTAGCCTAGATGGCCCATCCCAAGAAATTTAACCCACATGGGAATCTTTTCCCAAAACAGTCTTAGCCACTTAGTGTATCCAAGACATGAAGGGCTCAAGTCAGCTGCTGTTGGTAGCAATATTTTACAATATATATATATATATATATATATATAAGCACATTTCCCCTCCCCAATTACATTATACAGATTGATGTTCAACCTAGGATCTGAGCAGAGATCCCAACTATGCCAGCTAATAACTACCATGACCTTCAGAACAGAAGCGCTCCTTTGTATAGGTCCGACATAGGCACTTCTCCAAGCTGCAGGCCACTGTGTAACGTAAAAGCAGTCATTGGAGTGCTATTCATAAGCATGAGACCAGAGTTGTGCTATGCCAGAGATAGCATTGAGCACAGAGAGTCAAGGAATGTGATAGAAATGCAATAGGGGAGAATAGAGCAGAAACCTGCAGACCAACCAGGCCAGCAGTGAAGTAGCAGCTTGAAGCAGGAGGGATTATACCCTGAGAAGACTTCAGCAACACAGATGGGTTCATTTCTGCAAGTTACCAAATAGCCCTCAGATACCTGTGGGTCTCCCAAAGAACACAGGACTAGCTATCCTGAGGACCACAGCTCTGCAGTGAATGAGGCACTGGCTTCACTTTGGCTGCCTAGCCCTCACTCACCCCAGTACCAACCAGCAATTCAGACTGGCTCCAAGGGTCTTTGTGCCTAAAGATGATCATTTACAAATGTAGGAATATATAGGACTATGCTGGTTAGAGTTTTATGTCAACACAAACTAGAGTCATTTTAGAAGGCAATTATGAAAATGCCCCACTAGATTGGCCTGTGGACAAGCCTGTACTGAATTTTCTTGATGACTGATTTGGGAGGCCCCACTTCACTATGGATAGAGCCACCACTGGGCTGGTGATCTTGGGTGCTTTATAAAATCAGACTGATCAAGTTGTGAGGAGCAAAATAAGCTTCAGTGAACAGTGATGTGGAACTGCAAGCTGATAGAATCCCTCTTCTTTCCAGGTCATGGTGTTATCACAGCAAAAGAAACCCTAACTAAAACAAGCACCTTTAGTAACCAAAGCAGTAATCACCTACTGGAACACTTGCACCTACCACCAGACAACCGTCAGAGCCTCCCTTGTGCTCCTAGCTAACATTCTCTGAGGCTCAGAGGCCAACCTTCAAAACCATTTCCATTAAATCAGTTCCTCTCAAAAATAAAGTTGAGCCAGGCGTGTTTGCACACGCCTTTAATCACAGCACTCATGAGGCTGAGGCAGGTGGATCTCTTGAGTTCAAAGCCAGCCTGGATACATATTAAGTTCCAAGACAGCCAGGACTAAATGGAGAGACACCGTCTCAAGGGAAGAGAAAAAAAAGGCTGGACAACAGGGGTTTGAGCAAAGACTAGTCACAAGGATGATGCTACCCCTTTACTCTGCCTGTTTAGACATGACTCTGTGCATGCCTCTTAGTGGATTCCCACCCCCAGGAGAAGCTTGACTACATGACAGTTTCTAGCCGAGTGTCAATTGTTTACCATTTGAGGAATACAACAAATGATTCTATTTGAAGTTTCTAACCCTCCCCTCACTTTACCCCCAAAAAAACTGTACATGAGTTTACAAACATATTAACATATAAATAATGAGAAAGGTCCTAGGGAGCCTCCCGTTGTCTCTGCTAGGGGTGAACACTGGAGGGGCACTGTCCCCACAGGCTTCATGTTGCTGTGAGGTCTTATGGCAGCTGCTCTGGATCCATTGCTGGCTTCTTTGGCACCTCCAGGTTCAACTGCCAGTCTATCTTCCACTGTGCTCATTACGAGCTGGAAACCTTGAACCTGCAGCAGTGGCAGCACTTCAGCCCGTCATCGCTCTGGTTCAAGCTCATGCTGAAACGGACGCTTCCTCTCCCGACAGTGCTTCTTGTGGGCAGGCCAGTCCTTCTGCTGGCACTGAGAGCCACAATATCGAGCCACCTGGCAACGCCCACAGATATTGAACTCCCGAAGCTGAAACACAAAACACTATGGCTTCAATATCACACTAACAAAATGTATGGAAACTGTATCTCAGCATCTGAAAAAACACAATAAAACCCGGGTTCAATTCCCAGCACCCAATATGGCAGCTTAAAACTGTCTATAACTCCAGGATCCAGCACCTTCACACAGATATACATACAGGCTAAAACACCAATAAAATAAAATAAAAAAAAGAATCCCACCTCAAAAGTCACAGGCACACACTGAGAGAGAGACTGACTATACAGGCACTATAGCTGAAGAGCATATGCCCTGTATAGACAGAAACAGCAGCAAAGGAAGTCACCCGAGTAGAAACCCAGGGCTACCAGGCGTCTCCAGGAAAAACCTGCCTCGTTACACCCATACTGCTGGGCAGAAGTGGCCAAGACTCAGTGTAGCACACCATACCTGCTTCTCAATCACTGTACAAGGAGGATAGTGACACTCATAGTAGGTACAGGAATTCTCTTCCTCTTCCACCACATCTCCATTGGCATTATAGTACCGGGTCACATTCAGAACAGGGAACTGTTCTTCTATAGGGTCTGTGGGAAGCTGCTGGATCGCAAGCCAGTATAAGCTTTGCTCCCTGAAAGAAAGTATGTCACACCAGGTCAGCACAAAGAGAGAAAATACCTATCCAAGACAGGTAGGCTCTGCCCAGTTCTGGCAACTTGAGTTTGGCCTGCCCACCACTATTGCATGCACTAACCACTCCACATTAAAAACATTTAATGTGGCACAAACCTTTAATCTTAGCACTCGGGAAGAGGCAGGCAGATCTCTGTGAGTTCGAGGCCAGCCTGGTCTACAGAGTGAGTTTCAAGACAGCCACAGATAACAGAGAAACCCTAACTCAAAGAATAAATAAATTTTTAATCTTAGCCAGGTGTGATGGCAGTCAGAGCTATACAGTGAAATCTCGTCTCCCAAAAAAAAAAAAGGAAGGAAGGAAGGAAGGAAGGAATGAAGGAAGGAAGGAAAAAAGAAAGGAGGGGCTGGAGAAATGGCTCAGAGGTTAAGAGCATTGCCTGCTCTTCCAAAGGTCCTGAGTTCAGTTCCCAGCAACCACATGGTGGCTCACAACCATCTGTAATGGAGTCTGATGCCCTCTTCTGACCTGCAGGCGTACACACAGACAGAATATTGTATACATAATAAATAAATATTTAAAAAAAAAAAAAGGAAAGAAAGAAAAAGAAAGAAGAAAGAGACCTGTCTCTCGGTAACACACAAGCCTAGTCTATCACTCTCCCCAATGCTAGGGCTGACAGGCACACACAAAAGCATGGAGTTTGGTAAGCTTCGCTACTTGGTGCCTCCAGGAAGACCACCATCCTTCCCTTTAACCTAGGAAGCACCAACTACCATTAGTCTACTACTTCCCCTTTTAGGTCACAGCAATCCTTCCTTTCTGAAAATTCCTCCTAGCCAGAAGTAACTGACTACTGCAACAGGAACTGCAAGCTGAGACTTGTGCTACATGAAGAAGGCCCAATGTGGTGGCCTAAAGGAGAAATGCCCCCCTCTAAGAGATTCAGGTATTAGAACACTTGGTGCCCAGTTGGCAGAGCTGTTTGGAGAGGTTTAAGAGGTACAGACTTGAAGGAAGTATGTCACTAGAGGCTGGCTGAGTTACTTATACTTGGGTTACTTATACTTTGTGCTCTCTGCTTCATTTTTTTTTGTGGTTGAGGATGTAAACTATCATGTTTGGCTATCATGTTTGCAGCTAGTTCTATGCTTTCTGGTCATAACAGATTCTTATCCATTTGGAACTATATCCCAAGTAAACTCTTTCTTCCTTAAGTTGCTTTTAGTCATGGTGTCTTACCACAGCCACAGAAAAATAACTAATACAGAAATTAATGCCATAGAATAGGATACTGCGGTGGCAGACTTAATTAGGTTGTTTTGTGGAGGATTGTGGAGGTATTTGGAACTTTGGGCTAGGAAAGCCAGTTCCAAGCTTAATGGGTTGTTCTGTGAACATTTAGAAGAAGAAAGTGTTAAAAGAGGCCAAACATTGGTGGCACACACCTTTAATCCCAGCACTTGGGAGGCAGAAGCAGGTGGGCAGATTTGAGTTTGAAGCAGCCTGATCTACAAAGCAAGTTCCAGGACAGCCAGGACTGTTTCACAGAGAAACCCCGTCTTAAGAAATCAAGACAAACAACCAACCAAACAAAACAGAGTGTTGAAAGAAATGTAGAGGATGGAAGCCTAGCTTGCGAAATGTTCATGTGATGTACTTGAATTAAGAATCTAGCTGGGGCTGAACAATCAGCTGTGATTAACAAAAGAACCACATCACTGAGATGAAATCCTGTAGAAAGTATTTCCTGTCAGTTAGCACCAGGGTTGTGACCTAGAAGGGGCCAGTGCTACATCTCAAGCAGAGTCAAACCTGGTCATGTGCTCTCACACAGCAATGGTTCTGGAGGCATGGAGTTTCAGGACTAAAGAGTTCATGGAAAACAGCTGAGATCCAGGAGAGGCCATTGGTTAAGTGAGCAGCCTCAGCTGAAAATCCTAGTAAACTGGAAATGCCAGGACTGTGGGATAAGCAATAAGGACAGCTGAGTATGTGGAGCAGACCTACCATAAGACTACAAGGTAAAGCCGGGCAGTGGTGGCGCACGCCTTTAATCCCAGCACTCGGGAGGCAGAGGCAGGCGGATCTCTGTGAGTTCGAGGCCAGCCTGGTCTACAAGAGCTAGTTCCAGGACAGGAACCAAAAGCTACGGAGAAACCCTGTCTCGAAAAATCAAAAAAAAAAAAAAAAAAAAAGACTACAAGGTAAGTGGTGGCATACTGTGGATGGCAGAGCTAGAAGTGGCACAGACCTGCCTAAACTCTGTGGAGCTCAGAGATTATGAGTGAGTTTCGGATGTTCAACACTGAGTTAGTTATTTATATTGTTGACTTTTGGTTTTATGTCAGGATATCAACATCAGATTCTGGAGACAAAAAACGAAGGGAGGCCAGGTGGTGTTGGCACACACCAAAAAATAAATAAAAAAAAAAAAAAAGGAAAAAATATTTCTTTCTTCCATGAAGAAAAGAAAAATCCCCCCAACACACATGGATGGTGGCAGGTCCCAAAACACTCACAGTAAAAGAGCAAAAACCAAACAGAAACATGGGATGGCCTTTAGGAGTAAGGTGTTAGCCAGGAAAGACCCACCTTTGTTTGCTGGAGGTCTCTTCAGCTTTGGGTCGCCAGCCCCACGGTACTAACTGCAGGTTGTCCAGACGATTGTCCACAGTCACAGCATTGAGATGTACCACCTGAAACCCGGGAGCCACACCTCCCCTGTGTCGTTCCCTAGGGAAAGACAATTTTTTTTCCTTGGGGGAAAAGACCCTCAAGCACTTCTATTTGAGCATTAATGTCCAACCACACAGAAATACCAATCATGAGGTCTGAACTGGGCCCTTCCCTACCGAAGGGGGATACCAAGAGGAAGCCAAGCAATATCAGTGTGGCCAACACACACAGGACCAGGCTGATGATTTTTCCCCTGATTTAAGGGCTTTGCTCAGAGGGTAATGGATAGAACCCCCAAAGTATCAACATAATCTAGAGACAAGTTCCATCTGGAAGGTCTCAACATTTCAAACCCCACCTTAACACCCAGGTTCAATAGTCCATTTTCTAGGGATGCAGTCTTACTCAACAGAAGGATCCAAAAGCAGAACCCTTCCTCCACAAGGCCTTGTCTCATCAGAATCCCACAAGTTGTTTAAAGTGATATGTACTTCCCTTTGGATTAGTAGTAAAGGCCACTAAAATAAACTCCCAGACTTAGGGAAGATACGGCTAAGTCTGACTCCACTAGGTGGAGTGCTCTCTAGCCTTCAGGCATACTGTATCCTTAGCTCACATGGGGTTAGGTAGGGAGACTTAGCAGCTGGAAAATACCCACCACAGTAGCTCATGCAGAAGCCTGCCTGAGCCTCTTCCTCGGTTTTTGTCGAAGGCATATGCAAATATCTTAGCACCATTTCCATCGGCATCTACTTCCATTCGAGCCTGAGGAGCATAAAGCAGAGTAGGTCTGTTGGAAAGCCTCCAACTCTCAGCAACATTTCAAATGCAGCTTAGAAAAATGCCAGAAGTACAGGTGACATCCTGCTTCAAGGACCCGAGAAGCACAGGGGCTTCTTCCTGCTCCACTCAGGCAAGAAACCCTCATGAACAACTTGGAAAATATTGTAGACACCAAGCAATAAAGTTTCGCATCCTTAAAAAAGTCCAGAAATGGAGTGGGGTGGGTGGAGGTGGCACTAGAGATGTCTCAGCAGTTAAGAGCACTGGCTGCTCTTTCAGAGGACCTGGATTTAATGCTCAGAACCCACATGGTGGCTTCACAACTGTCTGTGACTAGTACAGACATTCAGGTAAACATTAATACACATAAAATAAAAAATAAGTAAAGCCCAAGAAAAAAATACTTGAGAGGAAAAAAACAAAAAGCCCAGAAAGTTGGCTGTGATGGTCCGTATCTGTAATCTCAGCACTCAAGAAGTGAAGACAGGGAGAATGAATATTCATAGCTGGCTTGAGGGTGCCTAACAAGATCCCACACAAAAACAAAAAGGACACAAATAATTCCTGGATAAGTAGCAGCTATGAAAGTGTGAGGTGCTGAGATAGACTGAAATGATTGATGTAAAAGTTACTGGAGAGGGTGGCAGAGGAGCAGCAGAGTCTGTAATCCTTTATCAAGGATACACTAAGGGCAGCATGGTCTCCCCAATCAAGGTGCAGAGACTGGAGGAGAGCAACATTCAAAAACAGGTCTGCTCGGGCTGGAGAGATGGCTCAGAGGTTAAGAGCACTGGCTGCTCTTCCAGAGGTCCTGAGTTCAATTCCCAGCAACCACATGGTGGCTCACAACCATCTGTACTGACATCTGGTGCCCTCCTCTGGCATGCGGGCAGAGGCAGAATGTTGTATACATAATAAATAAATAAATCTTTAAAAAAAAAAAAACAGGTCTGCTCATTTGGTTTAAGATATCTAATTCTTTAACTTCAGCACTCAGTTCGGAGGTAGAGGCAGGTGGATCTCTGTGAGTTTGAGGCTAGCCTAGTCTACAGAGTGAGTTCCAGGACAGGCTCTAAAGTTACACAGAAACCCTGTCTTGAAAAATCAAAAACCTAGCCTGGTCTACAGAGTGGGTTCCAGGGCAGCCTTCAAACCTAAACACAAAAACTCTATCTCAAAAAAAAATAAAACAAAACACAAAACGAAACAACAACAACAAAGACAAAAAAAGAAGAAAAAAAGAAAAGCCAAAAACCAACCAAACAAACCCAAACAAAAGATTAGTAATCAGGGCAAAAGAGCTCACATGAACTCTACTGGGCAGCATCTACTGGACATACAGGCTGTCACAACCTGTTTGGGAGCTGAGTGCTCCTAAGTACCAGTGGTTATACTCTTGTTCTCCCAAAACCAGGAAGGAAATTCATCTTCATGTTTCCTGAGGATCAAACAAAAATAATCCTTACCTCAAAGGAGTAGCTCTCCACCAGTGGTATGTCTTGCTCATCTATCAGTGTGTATTTGGTCTGAAAATAAACCATGTTTCAAAGGTTACATCTGAGATCAATCTAAGAAACAGTAACACCATAACTAGCAATAGCAGGAATCTGCAATATTTTCCAATGAGACAGAAAGTAACCAAATCTTAAGTGGAGACTTAGCACAGCCTATAGCAATGCCGAAGCTGGGCATTGCGGTACACACCTTTAATCTCAACACTCCAAGGTAGTGAGTGGCAGACAGAACTCTGTGAAGTTCCAGGACTGCCAAGACCACATAGTGAGACCCTGTCTCAAAAAACAAAGAAACAGCCGGGCGGTGGTGGCGCACGCCTTTAATCCCAGCACTCGGGAGGCAAAGGCAGGCGGATCTCTGTGAGTTCGAGACCAGCCTGGTCTACAAAAGCTAGTTCCAGGACAGGCTCCAAAACCACAGAGAAACCCTGTCTCGAAAAACCAAAAAAAAAAAAAAAAACAAAGAAACAAAAAACAAAACAAAAAAACTATGAAGTAAAAAAAGTCGAATTAGTCAAATTTAGTATGTTAAAAGTAAAACAAGGCAGGGTGGTAGTGGCCCACACCTCCACACCTTTAATTCGACCCGCTCGGGAGGCAGGATTATCTTTGAATTCAAGGCCAGGCCTTGTCTACAGAGTGAGTACCAGGACAGCCTGGGCTACACATAGAAACCGTTTGGGGAAAAAAAAAAAAAGTGATCACATTTTCCAGAGTAAGTAGGCTTCAGGGCCCATCCATACCGGATAGACCCTGCCTGACAAGTGGTCCTGGGGTTTTAATGCCCCCATAAACTCGGCCATCACAAGTTTACTGAAGCAGAGGAAGGGAATGGGATTGCGATAGAAAATTGATGTTTTAAGTACTGCATATTGAGTAGGTTGGGTAGCTTTTGCACGTGCTCATTGGATAGCGAGCGCTTCTTCCTCTGGTCTCAGATGGTCCTAGTAAAAGCTTTAAGGGCCAAGGCTACTGCAATTAGTTACCGAGTCGAAAGGAGTCTAGGCTCCCATCCCTCCCTAGTTAGAAAGTTCCAGCAGCCCTATCCTTAGCTCTTGCAAAAAATGCAAAGGAAAACAGGTTGGTCTTACTTTCCTGGAAGAGCTTTCTAGGATCTCAGTTACCTGCCCCTATTTTCTGTCTGTTCCTCTCTCCCAGCAGCAGCTGCAGCCAGGGGAGGGAGGAACAGAATTAAAGTCCACAGTTCCTGAACGGCACCATGCCTCGGGGCCCAGCTCCAACATGTGGTAGGTGGTGGCCCGAGCGAGGAGCACCTGAGAGCCTTCCAGCCCACCAAGACCAGGGCCCTGGCCCCTAGTCTGTGCTCGAGGAAAGCCTGCGACTCGAGTGACCGAACGTGGCCAGCCCTTGGACAACGTTAAAACGCACCGCCGCCGAGATCTACTGCGGACCGGCGACTCCGCTGGCTTCAGAGCTACGGGCCGAGGGCGTTTACGGCGGGAGGCCGCCGCGTTTAAACCGTGCGGCCGCAGGTGCAGCCTGGCTGCCGGAGCCGCCGCAAGTGCCCGCCCGGGGCCACACAGGACGAACGCCGGGAACTGTTCCGCGCAAGCCAGTCCCACACGAGTCCTGAGGCCGAGGGGCGCGCCCACGGCCGCGGGGCAGGTCCCCGCGAGGAAGGCGGCGCCCGAACCAAGCAGGCCCGCGCAGCTGCTCGCCAAGGTGTCCCAGCCCGCGCAGGCCTCGCCGCCGCTCCCACACCGCTTACCTTTCCGGCCACCCGGCCGAGCCGCACGATGCCCAATTTAAAGTCGGTCATGGCCGGGCCTGCGCTCTCGGCAGGCGGAGCCGCTCCCTCCGGAGGCTCCTGACCGGGCCGGGCCGGAGCGAGGCCGCGGCACTCCGGGTCAGGCCGGGGCCGGGGTCAGGCCGGGCGGGCCGAGGGCGGACGAGGCTGGGCCGGGTTCGGGCCACCGCCGCCGCCTCGCGCCCGCCGGACCTGCCACGCGCCGCCGCCACCGCCGCGCGCACACCAGCGAGCGGAGCCGAGGGCGGGGCGCGACCGGGACACACCCCCCACCGGCGGCGACCGACCAATTGCGGGACGCGCCCTCCGCCGGCCGTGGCGCGCCGCTGCCAGCCGACCAATAGAAATAGGGAAAGAGCGCAGGCGCAGTGAAAAAGAACCAAGTGCGGGGGGAGGGGCGAGCCGGGGGCGGCGCCTGCGCGGCGGCCGGCGCAACGTCAATTTCGCGGGAAGCTTTGTGCGCTCTGCGGCTGCTGGGGCGGCAGGAGCATGAGATTTTGGTTGCGGTTTTTTCGTGACCCTTAGCCGCCTTCGTTCTCGTCTCGGAGCTGTGTACGGCAGAGCGACGTGGAACGTCTGTCCTTACGGGGTGGTTACGGCCTGGCACTATACTGTGTGAGTGGTTCAGGTCTCCAGAACCAACCTACGAGGCAGCGGCGAATACCTACGCCGAGCCTCCCGGATCCGATGCGCCTTAGGTCTCCAAAGAAGGATAAGACCTTCGGTGAGGAGCCGGAGGCTGGGTTGGATATCTGTCTCTCGGAAAGGGAGACCTCATAGTCTCGAATCGTGACACAGCCGGTAAGGCCTAAAGCTCAAACCTAGGGCTAGGCTCCTTTTGCTTCAAGGTGACTCCAGGCATCTAAGGATCTGCAGATGTTGCTGGCTCTCATTGTTCTATTTTGGAAATAGTTACCAAGCGTCCCGAATGAAGCTAGAACTTCTCTCAGCCCTTGGAACTTCACAGGACTCCCAGATGCTTTGCTCAAAACGCACCTGTCCCACCAACCTCTTCACACTTGTGATGGTGTCCCGAAGTTAAGAGAAAAGGGGCGGGATGCTTAGGATGGAGCAGCGTGTGTGTTTCCCTGGTAATAAAGCCAGTAGTCTTACTGTAAGTCCCTCCAAAATAGGAATTCGACACATCTGCATGACTTGAAAGGAGACACCAGGATACACCTGATGAGTCAGAGGCTGCTCCTGTAGAGGGCATCAGCCATGCTTCACCCTATCGAGTACCTTCCTTGAGCTGATAAGTATGAGACAGCCCCAAGGTTGTAACAATGAGATTAGATCCTAAATTATGGCTTTATAGCCTATGTAGTTCCGTTACTAATCTACTAGACTCAGAAATCCCTACCCCCTGAACTCAGGCACTCTATCCCTTTTAGGGAAGACATAATAGATGTAAATATTAAAGCTGGGTGGTGGTGGTGGCATTTGGAAGGCAGAGGCATGTGGATCTCTGTTAGTTCGGGGCCAGCCTGGTCTACAAAGTGAGTTCCAGGACAGCCAGGACTGTTTAACGGAAAAATCCTGTGTCAAAAAAACAAAACAAACAAGATTATAGTTTTCCTCTATTCTTAAGATCCAGTAGGATTTCCATCATATTCTAGTTTCCCTCACTCAAGTAGCTTTCATTATTTTTGTTGTTGTTGTTGTTGTTTGTTCTTCTGTTTTTTGAGACTGGGTTTCTCTGTGTAACAGTCCTGGCTATCTTGGAACTTACTTTGTAGACCAGGCAGGCCTTGAATTCACTGAGACTCACCTGCCTCTGCCTCTCACCTGCTGGGATTAAAGGCGTGCGCCACCATCGCCCTGGCGTTTAGATTATTTATGTGTATGAGTGCTTTGCCTGCACTTATGTATGTGTACCATGTGTGTGCAGAAGGTGTTTGATGCCATGGAACTAGAGTTAATGGTTGTGAGACTCCATGTGGATGCTAGGAACTAAATCTAGGTCCCCTGCAAATACTGCTAACGACTGAGCCAACGCTGCAGCTCTGTGGCCAGCATTATAGGACCTGGTCACCTGAAATCTGTGAGTCTTTCTACCCAACCTGGAAATAATCTGCATTATTGAAAGCACCATATGGAAGCTGGGCATGGTAGCGCATGCCTTCAATCCCAGCACTGGGGAGACAGTGTCTGGTAAGCGATCTCGGTGAGTTTAAGGCCAGCCTGGTCTACATAGTTCCTGGACAGTCAAGGATACATAGAAAAATCATGTCTCCAAGAAAACGAAACAAAACATTCTAATCCCATCCATGAGGGAAGAACCCTGATGACCTCATTATCTTTGGGTACTGTTATGTTGGGAATTAAATTTGAATGTGACTTTTTAAGTTCTGCATTAATTTATTTTGTGAGTGCATGTGTCAGAGGGTAACATTGGGTGCTGGTTCATTTCTGTGAGTTCTGGGTTCTTAGATCATCAGGTTTTGCAGCAAGCGTGTCTAACCACTGAGCCATCTCATCTGTCTTTTTTTTTTTTTTCAGGCAGAGTCACCAGACTGACTTCAAAATAGCTTCCCTGCCTCAAACCTCCTAAGTGCTAGGATGTTTTAGGTGTTTGCTGGCACACTCAATTTCTTTAGAAAATGTTTTTATATTTATTTATGGCGTACATACGTGTGGCAGTTAGAAGATAACTTATGGAAGTGGGTTCTTCTTGCCATGTTAGTTTCAGGGATTGAACTCAGATCATCAGACTTGGCAGCAAGCATATTTACCTTCTGCCTCCTGGCACCTGATCTCTTTTTAAAATAATTTATTTTACGTGCATGAATGTTTGCATGTATTTACATATGCTTGTATCAGCGTAAATAAATGCAATGCAGATATTGAAGAATATTTACACTTAATGATAAACTTACAGAACCGAAGTTCCCGCATGGCACAGGAGGTAGGAAGGAAAGGGCGGATCCGCCTCCCGCGCGCCCATTTATCTGTAGGCATTCGCCCGAGGCAAACCCCGCCCCCTAAAGGGGCTGTCTTAACCCTACATCTCCCCCTTTTGTCTAAATAAGACAGAACTAAACCAAATATAACTATAAACAATAATAACAAATGATAAATATAACAAACAATATTGAGAACAAAAGTTTTGCTAGGCATTCTATCTCAAGGAGTCTAAATAATGTAGAGAATAACTACTATTAAATAATCTTCAACTCCATCAAAGATCTGAGAAGGGAATAAATATTACTTAACAAATGAGAGATATCCAAAATGTGCAACAAATGACAGAGACAACTGACTACCTGGGCAATCACCCAAAGTCTCGTTTGCAATGTTGAGTCAACCAACTTTGGCTAAGGCCTAAGATAACTGACATACCATTATCAAATGTAAGGAAGTTTCTTAGAATTATCCTACCCTGTCTTGGCAAGATAAGACAATCCTGTTTCATATCTTAGTCAGTAGTTGAGGTATGGGTTTTTCTTAACCCAAAGGCCAGTTCTGCCAAGAAGACAAGCTCCCAGTGGAGTGTCTTTGGTGCTCAACGATCTCTCGGGAGTAGAGTGGTGTTGCCAGGAGTAATTGTGTCTCGTTGGCACAGAATTCTAGGTTAGATTAAAGGCCATTTTCTACAGCTCTTCAAAGAGGCTGAAGATTATACTATCTATACTAAAAATAATCTCTATGTATCTGAAAGACCTGATTAACCTAAAAATAAATATGACAAACATATAATTCTCAATGCCTATCTAATTTGAAAACTAAGAGAATAAACAACTGTGCAATATATGAAGACAATGATCTTCACCTGTAAACAATGTCATTACATATCAAAATGTAAACAATGTTATTACATAAATAGTACCAGAGGTAGAAATGTACATTGTGATATGATAGATGTATCCATACAATATAAGCATACTCTTATACAAAAATAGAGGTAGGAACACTCACATTCAATATTCAATATATCAATTTACAAGAAACAGTACCAATATAATTTTCTAAAAACAGTAAGTCACAAATACCAATCATCCCATCAAACCAGTTAATCCCCCCCCTTTTTTTTTTGTATATACCCCTAATTTCATAAAATATCTCCCCATCCCCTCAACCCTAAACCAACCACTAAAAGATGTCCCTAACCCTGTGGGCAAACTCTGTTGGGAGAGGGGACTTCGTCCTCTTAGATTGCTTCTAGCTGACATGGGGGCGACGTTCTTCTTAGGGGCCCCTGTGAAAGCAAATGATGGTAAAAGTCCCAAATTAACCTTTGACTTAAGAAAATTATAACTAGTCTCTGAGCGTTTTGAGAAGGTCTGGCCAGAGTGTTGTCAAAAATGTGCATCATTGGGCTGGAGAGATGGCTCAGAGGTTAAGAGCACTGACTGTTCTTCCAAAGGTCCTGAGTTCAATTCCCAGCAACCATATGGTGGCTCACAACCATCTGTAATGGGGTCTGGTGTCCTCTTCTGGCCTGCAGACATACATGGAAGGAATGCTGTATACATAATAAATAAATAAATATTTTAAAAAAAATGTGCATCATTCGAAATTGTCTCTTGCAGTTGGTACCAAAAAACAGGTCTAATATTAGCGCTTAAAAAAAAAATTCATGACGTCATAAAAGCCAGATTGAGTTGATGTTGTGGGACCCCATCTTCATCCTGGAAACTTCAAAGATTACTGTAGGAAAATACGTTGCTTGTTATGGGAAATTTAAACATTAACAACAAGGACATATACTGACATATAAAGAAAGACACAGATATGAGGAAAGGCAAAGAAAGTTTATCAAATATAAAATTATTCTTATTCTGTCCCATTTCATGGCTCCTGACCTGAGACAGAAACTGAAGTATCTCTTATCAACAGGCTTGGAATTGAAGATGGACTGAGCCATAGTCCAACTCCAAAACCAGCTCTACACATATATAAAGAAGTATTCAATAAAACATATGAATAGATATAAAAATCAATACTTACAGTATATATAGAATTTTATTGGGCTGGAGAGATGGCTCAGCGGTTAAGAGCATTGCCTGCTCTTCCAGAGGTCCTGAGTTCAATTCCCAGCAACCACATGGTGGCTCACAACCATCTGTAATGGGGTCTGGTGCTTTCTTCTGTCCTGCAGGCAGACACACAGACAGAATATTGTATACATAATAAATAAAGAAATATTTTAAAAAAAAGAGTGAGGGGTTGGTGCTGAAGTCACTACAAGTTTTAAGTACAAGGTCTTAAATTTTAGAAAAAAAAAGAAT